TGAGGTGAGTAAGGAATAGAGACCAGAAGTGGAGAGCTGAAAAGAGGTCATCCGCCGTGGCTTATGGGAGAAAACGCCACAGCGGCTCGAACAGAGAGGAAGGAGTGCATTTCTGTAAAAGGCGCCACGGTGCCTGACCGAATCCGCCACAGCACCTAAGCTATCTCGGAGGAATCCTATTCGGTGTAATCCGCCATGGCCGATTATCACATGCGCCGCGGCATCGAAGCCCCTTGAAGCAAAGCCATTCTGTGTAATCCGCCGCGGTGCCTGAAGGAATCTGCCACGGTGCCTGACCCCTTGCAACTGTGCGTTTTATGATGTAACTTAAAAAATTAGGGCATATAGAGGGGGATACTCAGTTTTTCTGGATATACTTCGACTTTGGGGCGATTTTGGTGGCTGGCTCTGCTAGGGTTTGGAGCTTTGGAGGCTTGGAATCTTTGGGCTCGAAGCTAGAACAAATTCGAAGCTTTTAACTCGATTTTTCTGGGTTTTCTTCTTCTTCCCTTCTTGTTTCTACTATGACTACTAGCTACTCTTATAGTTGTAGTTCTTTACTCGATATGTATAGCTAAATCTGTTTTTTTAGGGTTATTTTGATCTATTGTATGGATTGAGACTTGGTTTTACTATCTCTTGAACGTTAATGATAATGTTCAGTTGTTTTTATTTTGAGCTTAATGCTTCCTTATGTCTGGCCATCATTTGGATTGATTGTTTGATTAGTTTAACTTGAGAAAGTTAAGTTAATTTGTGAACTTTGGTAAAAACATGCTAGTCCGGAAATTTGACTGATTAAATAGACGGTTTGTTGATAGAATAGAGATGTATCTGTTGATGTAACATCCCAAATTTTGGCTCATAGATACAAGTAATAGCACAAGGAAAGGATGATTACTAAGTCCAATGCAACGAAAGTCCCGGAGATCCCTCGGAAGGAAAAAGAGATTTTCCAAGGGCAAATGTGTAAAACAATAGTGTTCAAGGACTAAAGAATGATGAACTGGAAACAACTAAGGGCCAGAGGTTATGCTAGAAACTTGCAAGAGATGGTTCCGAAGGTTAGGCCTAAGGAGGGACCAAATTACAAAGAAAAGATTCCTAGGCCAAGTAGGGATCTAATTGTAAATAATAAAAGTTCTGGTCGGTCAATGCTCAGAGTTAGCAAAAAAGGCCCAAATGACTTAAAAAAATTCTAGAAAAATGGGAATAGGATCCCAGAGCCGATATAAGGCTAGAAATGACAGAAATGCCCTGAAGTCATTCTAAGGTTTTGAGCAATTTGAGATAGTAACTTAAATTGAATTATTTAAGCTATGAGACGGCCTTAAATAACCAGGAAAAACTGGGGAACAGTAAGTTGAGGAATTTACACATATTGTAAAATTAATTCCATCCCCAGAAACTGACAAGGTTAGCTTTAATTAAATTTAAAGCCTATTTATACCCTATCCAGAGAAAGTCAAAATAGCTGTCTAGAGTTTGGCTTTTAACCCGAGAAAAATTAGAGGAATTTCCCGTGATGAAAGGGAAAGAATGAAACCCAAAGACAGATCAACGGAGTTACGAGCCGATAGAAAGAATTCGGAGAAGGTAACCCCGATTAAGTATTATTTAATAATATTTCTGGGAAAATGAGAAAGAAAATATCTAAAGACCATCATGACGGCGCTGAGTCAGCATGTTGAGTCGCCAAGCGTAATGATGACACCTACGAGTTATCATGCTGAGTCATCAAGCGTAATCATGACACCAACGAGTCATCATGCTGAGTCATCAAGCGTAATCATGACACCGACGAGTCATCATGCTGAGTCACCAAACATAATCATGACACCTAAGAGTCATCATGCTGAGTCGCCAAGCGTAATCATGACATCGACGAGTCATCACGCTGAGTCAGCAGAAGATATTTATGGATAGCATACAAATCAGAACGCAGTACGACTATATTTTAGACAGTCCTTTGTCTACTCATTATAGTGAAATCTCTACTGCATGACTCAGTAAGGTTATGTAGCCTGTCAGTAGAGCTAATTATTTTCATCTATGCTCCTCTAAAAGGGCACCATATATGTACCTTTTATTGGCCAAAATTTTAAGAAGAAGTTGTCCCGGTGGTACATGGTAAGTCAGAACCCGAAAAATATCCGATACGGCGCAAGATTGGCTTGATAGGTGGAGAAATAATTAAGGAAATATTTTTGCACGAATTTTCCATTTATTTCCTCCCTATTTTAATGCCAAGTTGATGAATGGACATGAAAGGAATTGTTCAAGTTGTTAGAAAAATCTAGAACCATCTAGAAGAATCTAAAGCAATCAAGAAGAGTATAGAACAACCTAGAGGGAACTCAAAATCTCTAGAAGCATCTACAAGCTTCTTGAAGTCATGACTCACCAAGACACTTGTCATCTTCTTAGGCTATGTTGCTTAAGATGTGTACACGTGGAAAGGGTGGTTGAATGGAGGGCTAAGATCAAGTCTTATGCAAGAAGGGCATATGTGGAATTATGAAAAGTATAAAGCCTATAAATACCCCCACCCATAGTTCATTTTCAAGACCATTTTAAGAGGGGAAACTCTTGCAAAATCAAAACTAGAGAGAGAAAGAGAAGAATTCTAGAGAGGGGAAGTGACTTGGAACCAAGGTAAGGCTTCCAAACTTCTCTATGTTGGTTTATGGTAGTTATATGTTGATTTTATGATAGTTTGATGATGATGGGAAGTCATTTTCCTAAGGGGAAGTGCTGCCCAAATTTTATCAAAATGATAGGGAATAGTTTTACAAAGCTAGAACATCAATCCAAAATTAAGAGAAAAAGGGTTAGGTTCAAGAAGGTTAGTCTTAAACTTTATGTAACCTAGTGGTTCTAATAGATTGTATGATCATTATGATTATGTTTAGGACCTTTGGAACATCCAAGAGGATGTTTGGTGATGTTGACCGAATGCCCACATGGTTGGAAAGTCAAGGGAGTCAAAGGAAAAGTAAGAGGAAAGCTTGAGGTGCAAGGTAGTGAACTTACCCTTTATGTGCTTGATGTGGTATGCTCATGTGTTGGTTTGTATTTGTTGTTTGAATGATGTTGTGACATGATGATTGTTGCTGGAAATGCTGTTTTTAATATGTTCCCATAGCCATGCATTTTTATACCAAGCATAAAGCATGACGGCATGTCACTAGTTAACTTAAGTTTATGAAAAACTACATACCATACACTAGCATCCATCTTGTGCATATATATGGTAATGTTTGCTACTGAGATTCCCCCAAATCTCACCCCTTTATAACCAACCATTTAGGTCAATCAATGATGGGCAATAATGGCGTGAGAAGCAAGAAGAAGTAAGCGGAGAATTATTCTTGCTAATGGATGAGACTGTTGATGAATGTATAATTCTCCTATTTTGTAAACTATGTTATGGATGCCAATGATGACATGTATTTAATTAGAATGTTTATGGCATGAATATAAATGTATGAGAATGAATGGGAAAGAGTAATCCCAAGTTATATATGTCAAAGAAATAAAAAGAATTAAAGTAAAGAGTAGTTAAGGGGCAAAACGTAGGTCCTGGAGTAGTGAGTTTGTAGCTCCAGTTTGACCTAGTAAATGAATGAGTTTAGCCACAAGATTTGGCATACTTATAGTATACATCCCAAGATTTAAAATGAGAGGTAGATCGCCTTAATTGGACGTGTACACAAGGAGATACGAATTTTCAAAGTTGAGGCATAGAAGCTGAAAGTTTCAGATTTTACCAAATAAACAGTAATCTTTATTGATTAAACTGTACGAATTGGGCAAGGATAAGTCCAATTGGATATTTTTATCTTAAAGATATTACAAAGAGCTTTCCGTATAATTTAGAACACCTCAATACGATTTTTATAGAATTAGTTATGATTTTTCAAAGTTGGATCTGTAATCTGAAATTTAAACAGTGAATAGTAACCTGAGTAATTATGTTGAAATTTTTAAGCCACGGGCTTGTGTCGTGATCCGCTTGAACCATAACACTTCCAAACGCATACTCTGAGGGGCTAAAGGTAGGATGTTTCAGTTGACCTAGCATAGACTAAATGGATTTTGGTTTTTAAAGTTCAACCTTTTCAAACAAATGCAAGAGATTGCTGTGTCTTAATTATGATTGCAAACATTTGGTTTTGACTTGAGAAAGCTTAATAAATTCTGCAAACCCCGGCTAACTGAACTTATTGTAAAGCACTACTTGAGAAGTGATTAATCCAGTTTCATGAAGTATTTTAGTGAAGAATAACCCTAGTCTCTTAATTGTTTCAAAGTCAAGTTGATTTCATACTGCCTTAAACCATTGTTTTCCTAATTTCATTTCACAAACTCTTTTACAACAATTGTCTCACTTAACCTAATCAAGAACATGATTATGATTTTCAACTCATCTAGCCTTAGTCTCTGAGGGAACGATACTTTTTATATTACTTGCGACTTGCCCACTTGCGGTTAAGCTAATCGACGAACAAGTTTTTGGCGCCGTTGCTGGGGACTAACGGCGAGAGTGTTTGCGGTTGATTGTCCTTATTGTGTGATTGGTTACGCTTAAGTTTCTGTTAGCATTTGTAGTGATAGTTATAGGTAGTAGTAGTAGTATTTATTTAGTTCATTTCTCTTGATAAGTTTGATACTTTTGTTTTCGATTTGAACACGCAGGTAACCCCTGACGCATGCATGGAAGATTGGAAGTTATTTTGGAAGAAGTTATTGAAGAAGAATCCAGTTCAGGAGAAACTAAAAACACACCATAGATTCAACAACAACCCTAGCTACTTCTACCACCACCACTTGAAACAGAACCAAAAGAAAACATAGCGAAAGAAGATGAGAACGACGTGTACACTCTGGATGACTATTTGGATAAAGAAGGGCAGACTTTTCAGTCAAGTATTTGGCTACCAGACATTCAAGCCAGGAATTTTGAAATCAAGCCTGTTATGATTCAACTACTAGGGATTATGGGTACTTTTGAAGGAAATTTTAATGATGATCCAAATAAGCATTTGACCAAGTTTATAGAGGTTTGTAAGAACTTCAAACAAAATAGAGTTACTAAAGATGCACTGCGATTGAGATTGTTCCCCATGTTGTTATCTCACAAGGCGAAAACGTGGTTGAATTCTTTACCAGAACACTCCATTAAGACTTGGGATGAGCTTGTATCTAAGTTCAAGGCTAGATTTATTCCAAGAGGCAAACGTGCTATATTAAGGGGTGAATTGCTTTCTTTCGAGCAGCATCCATATGAGTTATTCTACGAGGCTTGGGAAAGATTCAAAGATATGTGGAGAAATTGTCCAAATCATGAGCAAAAGAAATATGTTCTAATGGAAGCCTTTTGGAATGTGTTGAATGATAAGACAGTGACAATACTGAATACCGCTTCAAATGGAGGAATCAGAAAGATGAAGGTAAATGAGCTATATGAATTGTATGAAGAGGTGGCATCTAGCACTATGCAACAATATAACAAGAGAAGGCAAAGTTCTGGGGAGATATAAGGAGCCTAGCTCTTCATCATCAAGAGATATTGCATCGCAACTTGAAGCGATATCTAAGAGATTTGACAATCTGGAATTGCAGATTAAGAAAGGAAATGCTACAGGAGTTCATGCACTTCAGGCTCTGGGATACACTTGTGACCATTGTAATGAGGAACATCATTCTGATCAGTGCCTATACACCTTAGAGACAGTCAATTATATGAATAATATGCAGCGAAGACCACATGGGAGCCCTTACTCTCAAACCTACAATCCAAATTTGAGAAATCACCTAAATTTCTCATGGAAAAATGGGCCAAGTTTGAGCCCGCCACAAATATTATCGTCTGGTACTAAACAAATGGGGCCTCCTAGTTTTCATGGCCAACCACAACAACATCAATTGCAACAGGAGCATCCTCAAAAGGAGGAATCCAAAATTGAGAAGATGTTTGCTCAGTTATTAGCAAATCAAGAATCTGTAAGGGCTGAGAATAAGGCAACATTCTCTCTCCATGAAACTACTATCAAGAATCTCGAGGTTCAAATGGGTCAACTAGCTTCATAAATGAATGTACTCACAAGAAACAGCCTACCAAGTGATACCATTCCCAATCCAAAAAGGGATGGTAATGAAGAGTGCAAAGCTATCAGTTTGAGAAGTGGAAAGCAACTACCTGACATTCAGAGGCCTAGTAAGACCAATAAAGACATCACTAACAGTGTGGTGATTGACCTTGATACAAATGAGCTTTCAAAAGAAGGTGCTATAGTAAAAGAGGAAGAAACCAAGAAAAGGAAACAAACAGAAGAAAATCTCAATGATGTGGTTCGAGGAAAAAATGTAGAGGGTGAAATGGTTAATGATAAAAAGAGGAAGACAACTCATCCTTCTACACAGATGCCACCACTTCCCTTTCCTCAAAGGTTCAGGAAGGAAGATGAAGATGTCCAGTTCAAGAAATTTGTGGACATGTTTAAGCAATTACATATCAACATCCCGTTTGCTGAAGCATTAGAGCAGATGCCTAAGTATGCTAAGTTTCTCAAGGATGTTCTCTCCAAGAAGAAGAGATTTGGTGAATTTGAAACAATAGCCCTTACTGAAGATTGTAGTGCCATCTTGCAGCGAAAACTCCCACCCAAATTGAGAGATCCGGGCAGTTTTTATATTCCATGCAACATAAGCAAACACTTCAATAGAAAAGCTCTATGCGATTTGGGAGCAAGTGTTAACCTGATGCCTCTAGCTGTTTTCAATTGATTAAATTTGGGTGAAGCAAGGCCAACAACTGTTACATTGCTCTTTGCTGACAGAAGTATCTCGTATCAAAAAGGGATTGTAGAAGATGTCTTGGTGAAGGTAGATAAATTCATATTCCCAGCTGATTTCATTGTGTTAGACTGTGAGGTAGATTAGAATATCTCCATTATTTTGGGACGGCCATTCTTAGCTACCGCAAGAACCCTCATTGATGTAGAAAAGGGTGAGATCACCATGTGAGTAAATGATGAGAAGGTGATATTCAACATGAATCAAGCCTTGAAGTTTCCAAGTGATTCTATTCACTGTAATTTTATCGATGTGATTGACTCTGCAGTGCAAGAGGAGTTGATTAACTCTTTGACAAAAGATCCCTTGGAAGCATTGTTGATTGGAGAAACAAGTAGTATTGATGGCAAGGTTGAAGCGTATGCAAAAATGATGAGTATTGAAGCATTTACGTATTGAAAAGCTAAGACTTTTGAGCCTCTTGATGTGACTAGTGCTTTAAGCTCTCCACTAAAGCCTTCTGTTGATGAACCGCCAGTGTTAGAGTTGAAGACTTTACCGTCACATCTCAAGTATGCCTACTTGGCTAGTTCTACTACATTACCTGTGATCATTTCTTCTCAGTTGTCCACGTTGCAAGAGGAGAAACTGTTAAGGGTCTTGAGAAACCACAAGAAAGCTATTAGGTGGTCCATAGCTGACATCAAAGCGATCAGTCCTTCTATTTGCATGCATAAGATTTTATTAGAGGATGGTCACAAACCTTCAATTGAGCATCAAAGGAGATTAAACCCGGTTATGAAAGAGGTAGTCAAGAAAGAGATCCTTAAATGGCTTTCTGCTGGCATAGTCTACCCTATTTCTGATAGTTCATAGGTGAGCCCAGTTCAATGCGTCCCTAAAAAAGGCAGTATAACTGTAGTGGCTAACACCCGAAATGAGCTAGTTCCAACTCGTATTGTGACTGGGTGGAGAATTTGCATGGACTATCAAAAGTTAAATGTAGCAACCAGAAAAGACCATTTCCCGCTGCCATTTATTGATCAGATATTGGATAAACTTGTTGGGCAAGAATTCTTCTATTTCTTGGATGGATATTCAGGATACAACCAAATTGTAATAGCCCCAAATGATCAAGAGAAAACAACCTTTACTTGTCCGTATGGCACGTTTGCTTTCAAAAGAATGCCGTTTGGTCTTTGCAATGCACCAGTAACATTCCAAAGGTACATGACGGCCATCTTTGCTGACATGATTGAGAAAACAATTGAAGTGTTCATGGATGACTTCTTTGTTTTTGGAGATTCTTTTGATTGCTGCTTAGATAATTTGGCGGCTGTTCTACAAAGATGTGAAGAAACTAACTTGGTTCTGAATTGGGAAAAATGTCACTTCATGGTGCAAGAGGGCATTGTCCTTGGTCATCGAGTATCCAAACAGGGCCTAGAAGTTGACAAGGCAAAGGTATATGTTATTGAGCAATTGCCTCCACCAACAAGTGTTAAGGGTATTAGAAGTTTCTTGGGTCACGTGGGATTCTATCGTTGTTTCATTAAAGATTTCTCTAAAATCACTAAGCCTTTGTGCAATCTTTTGGAGAAAGATAGGGAGTTCAAGTTTGTGACGCTTATATGAACTCTTTTGAGGAGTTAAAGAAGAAGCTTACATCAGCACCAATTTTAGTGGCACCTAATTGGGAGCTACCCTTCATCATTATGGCAGATGCTAGTGATTTTTCCGTTAAAACAGTGCTGGGACAAAAGGCAGAAAAGGTCTTCCATCCCATTTACTATGCAAGTAAAACCCTGGATGATGTCCAACTTAACTACACTACTACAGAGAAAGAATTGCTGGTAGTGGTGTTTGCTTGTGAGAAATCCTGCTCTTATATTGTAGGCACTAAAGTGACTATCTATATAGACCACTCTGCCCTAAAGTACCTATTTACCAAGAAAGATTCCAAAGCATACCTGATTCACTGGGTCCTTTTGCTTCAAGAATTTGACTTGGAAATTGTTGATATGAAAGGCACTAAAAACCAAGTGGCAGACCGTTTGTCTCGGTTAAGTAGTGAAGCTCGGCATGATCATTGCTAAGAGATCAATACAGCTATTCCTGATGAATGTTTGTTCTTTATGGATGACTCAACTACTCTATGGTATGCAGATCTGGTTAATTATCTGGTTTGTGAAACTTTGCCACTAGACCTTAACTCCTACCAAAAGAGGAAATTTCTTCACAATGCGAAAATTACTTCTGGGAAGAACCTTGTTCAAAAGATGTGCCGATCAGATGATAAGAAGATGTGTTTCGGAAGTTGAGCAGCAAGATATTCTAGAGTGTTGCCACTCTTCTGCCTATGGCGGGCACTTTGGAGGAGAGAAAACTACTGCCAAAGTCCTTCAAAGTGGTTTCTATTGGCCTTTACTATTTAAAGATGTATACGCCTTGGTGATCCGATATGATCGGTATCAACGAGTGGGAAACATATCAAGAAGGAATGAAATACATCTAAATAATATTCTGGAAGTTGAACTCTTTGATGTATGGGGAATTGATTTCATGGGCCTTTTCCAAAGTCTCTCAATCAAGAGTACATTCTGGATGCTGTGGACTATGTCTCGAAATAGATTGAAGCTACGGCATCTGTATCCAGTGATGCTAAAACGGTGATCAAATTCTTAAAGAAAAACATCTTCACTAGATTTAGAGCATCTCGGGCTATCATTAGTGATAGCGGTTCTCACTTTTGCAATCATCAATTTCAAGCTCTAATGAAGAAATATGGTGTAAAGCATAGGGTAACTCTGGCTTATCACCCTCAGTCAAATGGCCAAGCAGAAATATCCAACCGGGAGATCAAAAGTATTCTTGAGAAGGTAGTAGGTGCCACAAGAAAAGATTGGTCATTAAAACTGGATGATGCTCTTTGGGCCTACAGGACAGCGTATAAAACTCTGATTAGGATGTCTCCCTATCAGTTGGTGTTCGGAAAAGCATGTCATTTGCCTGTAGAATTGGAATATGGAGCTTACTAGGCCATAAAAAAGCTCAATCTTGACTTTCAACCTGCTGGTGCAAAAAGGCTCCTTCAACTGAATGAATTAGAGGAATTTCGCCTTAATGCCTATGAAAGTGCAAGGCTCTATAAGGAATGGACCAAGAAGTATCATGATCAGAAAATTCTCCCTAAGGTCTTTGAAGCGAGGCAAAAAGTGTTACTTCATAATTCAAAATTGAGACTATTTCCGGGCAAACTCAAATCACGCTGGTCAGGGCCATTCACTGTGGTACAAGCTGCTAACCATAGTGCAGTGGAACTGGAAAATGAAAAGGGTGAAAGATTTCATGTAAATGGCCATCGTTTGAAGCATTATTAGGGTGGAAAGGTAGATCGTCAAGTCTCTACGATCTACTTTGCTGAACAATCATAACAGAGCTGAAGAGTCAGGCTGAAGACTATAAACCAAGCGCTACTTGGGAGGCAACCCAAGCTCTAAACTTGCCTTTTATGTGTTTTTTTTTCTATTTCGGTTTTGTTTTAGTAGATTTACATTTGATCTTTGTTTTTGTGGGCCTGGTGGTTTAGTCCTCAAACTCTAGAGCTTAGCAGAGGGAGTGGCTGATTTCTAACTAGCGTAACCAGAGAAGAGCACCTAACCTTAACCTCTAGCATTAACCTTAACCTTGTTAATACATTTGGAATATCAAGTGCATTTGATTGAAAATTCATTGATATTGTGACTTTAATTGGTTGTTTTGATTATGTTGGAGCTTGTGTTAAATTGAAGTTTATGGGTTTTGTTTTTGTGTGGTTGTCTGTGTTTTGTTGTTTTTTTTTTATTGTGCTTGTGTTTATTCTTGTTTTATTGTGTGTTGGGTGTTTGATTGTGTTAGGTCCAGTCAGTGTTTGATAATTTTTCAAGTTAGGCCTTCTCTGTAAGAGGCGCCGCGGCGCAGTTGATTAGAAGCCGCGGTGCCTCGTCCGTTTTAATATCCTCTCTCTGTAGGAGGCGTTGTGGCCCCTGCATGAATCTGCCGCTGCGCCTTTGTCCTTGGTCTTCGATCTGTCTCGGTAAAAACTGTCGCGGCGTTTGAACATAGATGCCGCGGCGCCCTTGTTTTAACCGACGTTTGCAGTTCTGTAAAAGGCGTTGTGGCGCCTGGATGAATCTGCCGAGGCACCTTCTCGCAATCTCTGAACTCCTTCTTTGTGTTTCCTATTTTAACCTTACTTATTTCTCTTAATACCCACTTTGCCCCTGCATATCTGACCAGTTTTGAGGGTAAATTCA